GTATTGTGTTTAATATTTTGGAACTCAACAAGTAATAAACCTGATTTCCAAGTATTAGAAATGAAAGATCTAGCGAATTGTACAGGGAAATCAGTAGCACAGGCAATATATAGTACTTTAAATTGTTTTAATATAGATCCACAGCAATGTTTGATTTGTGTTTCAGACAACACTAATTATATGAGTGGTAAATTTGGAGGTGCGATTACTTTATTTAATGAAATAAGTGGTAGCAAGTTGTTTCGAATTCCATGCGGAATTCATGTTGCGCATATCATAATGAATAACTTCGAAGAAGTTACATTTGGAAAATTATTAAATATTAGTAGATTTTCACAGAAAGCACTCCCGGCAAATTTTTTGTATTTAGTTTGGGACCTTCATAATGGCTATAACAAAAGTGACAAGGACAAGCCGATGGGTATACGATCAGATTATATTCGTAGACTTTATGAAGAACGATTAAGATACAAATTGACAAAGTATCAGCAGCCTATTAGATCACGATGGCTTTATGAACTAATCTGTGCAGAGCAATACTTAGAACGAAGAGATACTCATATAAAGTTTACTGAATGGTTTTTACCTTGTCTTAAGGCTCGAAGTAACACGCCAAAATCATATATTAAAAAGTGGGAATTATTGCAAAATTGGCTTCATGACCCACTTTTAAATATCCAAATTAAACTACTAGTTCGCTTTGGTAAAAATTTTTATTATCCAATGGCCAGGTTTCTTACAGGATATGATTCAGAATTACAAATTGCAATACCAAATTCTGTACCAATTAATCTTCCTCCCGGTCAACGTGCCCATCAAATGCCGGATTTCGTTGCTCGTACAACATTGAAACTGCAAAATATTGTTGAAGATCCCTATTCATTTTTCGAAGAAGAATTATTAGAAAGCGTCAATTTATTAGAAGATCATCAATTGAATAAATTTGTTTTAGATCTTGAACTTGGTACCCAAAAAGCATTAGAGCTTCACCAAAAATGGCTAAATTGCTGGTTGCACTTGCCGTTAAGCATTTGCCATTTAGGTGGAAAATATGGACGAGAATTTGCACGAAGTTTTGCTTACATAGTTTTAAAAACACCCTGTTTATCAGTACCTCGTTGCGAGAATTGTGTTACATGAAATTTCTAGAGTTGGATTTTAAATGTGATAAAGTTAATGACTTTGGCTTGTCGGATGCATTGCATGATCCTGAATTCAATTACGAATTTCAACAGTTTATTCAGGAAGAACAGAAACCCCTAAACCAGTTTCCTAAGATATTTGACTTTGTCAAATATCGAATCTGGCATATAATGGTTCACCAACAACAAGTTGAAGGTATCTTCAATAAATGGGACCTGAAAACTCATGCGAAGATGACAAGTGATACTCAAAGATCAAAGTTGCGGTTATCAAATATGCCACTCACTGAAATCGGTTGTAATTCCTCGGATTTGATAGAACTTAGAGCAAGAAAACGGAAGCAGCAAGTGGAATCTACATCTAAACAAAGTTTAAGTCAAGAAAATATCAGTGACGAAAAATGCGAAAATAATGCAAATATCTTGTTTGAAAATTTATTTGGTCGAAAATAATATATAGTATTAAATAACGATAATATATAATACTGTATATTAAATAACGATAATATATAATTCTGTATATTAAATAACGATATAACAATAATATATAGTAATATTATGATGCGTAATAATATTGAAATTTATGTAATTCGTGTAACCTGAAAAATCTGCAATATATTAAAATTTATAGTTTACTGACATATGTTTGATTAATTAGTCCGTTTATCACCCTAA